TATGTAGAGTACTGCTTGCAAACCAATGATGGTAAGATGATGTCATGGGGTAGGACTGGATAAGTCTGACTTCTTCCTACTCCATTCAAGCATGTACTAGGTATAAGCAAATTGATAATGGATTAGCATTTGTGGATATGTGTGAAATTATGTGTGTTGACATATTGACTGTCTTTACATGTTTGAAAGAATAAATCAAACAAACAAACAAACAGGCCAACAGTAAAATTGTACAACGCTGATCCAACTCTTAAAGCTGTGCACTACATACACACCTAGAAGTTTGGCCACTGCCTTTGTGGGGTGAGCACCGCAGGCGATCCAGTACTTGATTTGATCATAGTTGAAGCTGACAAGTTTCTCGTTGTAGATGTTAGGGAGGGGGTCGTAAGTACCCAGCTGCTCTAGGTATTTGCCATCTCTTGCCTTTTTGTTGTAAGCTGCCACAATACGATAAAAGGGTCTGTTAGCTTGTTTGTGGCCTGCAAGAGCCAGCCGGATGACCACGTAACCCTTGTGGTACTTCTTTAGGAGGAGTGATGCTGCAAACAAAAATGAATAAGCAAGTTTAGAGAGAAAAGATATTTTGAAACTGTTAAGCAACCCACTACATCACTGAAAGATAAGCAACCCTCTTTGTCCAGTAAATGCTGTACTGTCAGAGGCATTAATTACCTCATGCTAGTCATTTCCTAAGAATCTGATTTCATATCTTCACACCTTGTGTACACAACATATTGAAACATCACTTAGCAACCCTCGCATTGTTTTCCACACTGATCCCATGCTGCTTTAATAAGTTACTTTATTGTAGGAATGCTATATTAGACTGTTAGTTTTAGTGTGGTGTGCTTAGTAAATCATTAGATTCAAAGTCCAACTGAAACAATTAGAATGAGTTTTACTGTACTTTATACATGACACAATGACACAATCAATTTTTCCAACAGTTCCAAGAGATAGATTATGTCACTAATAATTCACTATATCACAGTTCTAGTGGATCAAAGTTTACATACACTCAGTTGACCATGCCTGGAAAATTCCTGAAAATGGCAAATGGTCTTTATACTTGTATAGCACTTTTCTATGCATTGCAGCACACTCAAAAGTGTTTTCACACTATTTGCCCATTCACCCATTCGCACTCACACACCAGTGATATCACCAGGAGCAAATGGCGGTTCAGTGTCTTCCTCAAGGACACTTCGACATGTGGACTAGGGAGAAGCCAGGAACTGAACCGCCTCGCCCCGCCAACCTGCACTAACTCCTACGCTACAGCTGCCCCAAATGATCTCATGACTTTACAAGCTTCTGACAGGCTAACTGACATCATCTGAGTCAATAGGAGGTGTACCTGTAAAGGCCTACCTTCAAACTCAGTACCTCTTTGTTTGACATTATGGGAAAATCAAAAGAAATCAGCCAAGACCTCAGAAAAAACTATGGGACTTCAAAAGTCTGGTTCATCCTTCGGAGCAATTTCCAAAAGCCTGAAGGTACAAAAAATACTATGCAAGTATAAACACCATGGGACAACGCAGCCATCATACCACCCAGGAAGGAGAAGTGTTCTGTCTACTAAAGATGAATGTACTTTCATCCAAACAGTACAAATCAATCCCAAAACAACAGCAAAGGTCCTTGTGAAGACACTGGAGGTACCAAAGTATCTATATCCGCAGTAAAACGAGTCCTATATCGACATATAATAGAAGCTGAAATAAATCTTTTTCTCTGCTATTCTAACATTTCATGTTCTTAAAATAAAGTAGTGATCCTAACTGACTGAAGACAGGGAATGTTTATATGATTAAACATCACAAGTTCTGAAAAACTGAGTTTAAATATATTGGGCTAAAGTGTACGTAAACATCTGACCTCAACTGTATATTAGAGTTTAGATTAGACAAAACAAGACATCTGAAGATGTCACCTTGAGGCCCCTGAATCTGTAATGGGCCACTTTTGGCATTTCATAGCTTAAGCAATTCATCAGAATCAGAATCAGCTTTATTGGCCAGGTCTGTCGGACACACGAGGAATTTGACTCTGGTACATCGGCTCTATGTACATACACATTATATGTATATATCCCCATGCAAGGGGCAAGTAAACAAATCAACCCTTTAATCAAGACTGAAAAGAGTTGTTGGTTGTAGCCTTATAGACATACAGTATATTAATTAATTTAAATGTCTTTATTTTATAGTATGTCCACAGAAAATACCATTAAGTAATGTTTAACTGTTTGGGGAAGCAGTATGCCCCGTATTACTCATTAATCACACAAAAATGTTATTAACCCAGTTTTTCACAAAATTTATATTTGTTACTATGTACGGTAGCCTGTAGGCACCCAGTATTAACAAAAATACTTCTTATTCAATGTATTTCTTCACCTAATATACCCCCAGTATAGTACCTACGTTTAACTATCGGCTCAGTATTTTATTAGGACCTTATTGCCTTATTCATAAAATTAAATTACACGGTAAATCCGGATGTATTATGAACTGTTACCTAATATTTGCTTGTCTTGTTTTAAACTCCTCCAGACGCCATAATGAAACAGGACAAAAACATCAAAACGGCCAGTATGTGCGTGTTCATTCATACTTACATAAATGGACCATGGTGTCTACTGGGTTAACCTGCAACAGGCAAAAATCACCTTTAAACTAATGTATGCATATAGCTATGTAATGTTCTATAAACAACTAGCCGTGGGTTTCATACGGTTACATTTCTACGACACTTTGAAACTGTAGTAATTAAACCGCAATGGTATAACTATGGAGCTATTGTGTTGCTAAGGGCTAACTTTAACAGTAAAGAGGGTATTTCCAGTTTTAAAACTACAAGCTTTGAAAAAAGGAGCAAAATTTACCTCAGAGACTGTTGAGCAACGTAAGGCAAAATCTCTTCAATGTCGTCTGTTTATTATTCGTTGTACAGGCCGATATAATAGACGTTATTAACAACATGAAGTAGTAGTGTGACATTTGTCAGAGCGCAGCCATGTTTAAACAGGAAGTGACGTACTGCCTCGGCGTTATGGCATTGCCACGCTAGATGGCGCTATTGTACCGCGGTATACTGAAGGGCTTTACTAAACATCCATGTTTACTGTATGTTGTTCATTCAAGTTTCCACTGCTAACGTTTATGTTGCAGTGTGAAATGGCACGTTGACACTGTATTGAAGGACTAAGTGCGGCCTTGATGATGCCCCTAGAGCTGTAAAATAGAACGCTATGCAGGAAAACTGCATTTAAGTTGTTGTAATATAGCTTTATTAGACTTATGGATTATCACTTTATCACGGTTAGAGGTACAGTAGTAGAAGTACTCAGATCCTTGAAACTATTTTACAAGTAGTTTATGTCATGCAAACGTGTGGTCCATCCCACATGGGATTACAGTAATTGTAAAAAAAATATGCTTCTCATAGTAATACATATACACAAAGCAGAGCTTTTAGATTTTTTTAAATGACATATTTATGTTGTGTAACAATAGCACACTGTAAAAACAGAAATATTAGCATTACAATATATTTAGAATATTAAAAGGAAAAGTAGGCCTTCATATGATTGCCATTTTGTTACTGCCATAGGCTAATAGGCTGTGATACACAGAAGCTATGACAATATATTATTATTGATGCATATAGGTATTTTAATAATTTATCTGCTTTAGATGGAGCTAAATAAAAGTATTTCAAATACTGTAGGTAGTTTAGTTTGTGTCCTACTTTATAAACTGATCATATGGCAAAATCTTTCAGCGAAGTAACTCCAGCTGCGGTCTACAGTGTCTATACAGTATTGGCTGATATTACCATAGAGTAGTTTTTAACTTCAACAGGTTCTTTTATCTGAAGGCCCCAAGAAGTAACACTCAGGAAACAGAAATCAGCTTTACGTAGATTTATTTTCTTCTGGTTAAATGCAGAGTTATTACAGCGCTGGGCTCTAAGAGATGACAAGTCTCCAAGAGCTTTGATAATCGAAAATCATTCACATTTATCTTCTCGGGCTGGGACTGCCCTGTACATGGGTGGTACGTTACACGTAAATATTCTAGAATGTTCATATAGGCAGTATGTGTGTGTGTGTGTGTGTGTGTGTGTGTGTTGTTATCTTCTATTTTCAGGTGTTTCTCTCTAACTGAAAGTGGACATGCAGTTAGCTGTGTCACTTACTTCCCTGATTCTGTTGTAAAAAACCCCTTACTCATGCTTCAGACATGAGTGACCAGTTCAAGCCCGTCAGACTTCACGTCTGTAAAATAGCATAAATTAACAGTATCTTATCTATAGTTTCCAGAACGACACTTATCTATGCAATCTATTATTGCACAATTTTCCAAGAAGATGAAAAATACTACAAGTTGACTCGAAGCTGAATATTATAACTATAATGCATGCATAAGAGCCAGGTTAATACTGATACATGGTGCTGTTAATGAAACACAGACAGTCATACTAAACTCTATCATTATAAAAGCAAAATAATACTAACAGTAAATAAAACAACTGTAACTCCTGAAATCCAATCCTAACATAGTGGAGTAGAAGTATAATTAAGCAAACAGTGGAAATACTCAAGTAGCCCATTGTAAAATGACCTCATTTACTGTAAGTACAGGTCAAGTACTTGCATTTGTGTACATTGGACCACTGCTATAAAGAACACAGTATTTGGAGCATCATTGGTCTATAAGAGGTACTTTTTTTTACTGTTATAGTCACTGTAAGTCTCAGTGAAAGAGTATCATGTCTGAAATGTGTTTAAATGTATCTAATGCTTTATTAAATGATGAAGTTAATGTGGCTTGTAATTATACACCAGAAATTACATCTGTTACATTTATAATTATAACATTGGAAATTTTATCCTCTCTGTCAGGTTTAGACTCTTTGGTTCCAACAGTGCTGTCAGTCATTTAATCCTCCATTGTTCTGTTTTTAATTTCTGTTCTACACATGTAGTGTGTCTTACATCAGCAATGCATAGAGTTTCAAGTCAGTTTTCACTGTTGACCCCAGCAGAGATGTAGTGCTGATTTCCTGAGAGTGATTATGACTTCAGGGGTCATTGCTTTGCCTGATGTTGTCCAAGTGCTTGGAGATTTCTGCCCAGTGGGAGCACAACTAACCCCAGAGTCTTGGAACATGGTAATTTCACACTCCTGTTGTGTAAAGCTTGTTTTTCTCCCTCCCTCCCTCCCTCTCTCTGTGTGTGTTGTGACAAACACATGGTTTTCTGTGAGGAGAGGTCACTGAAGACACAAAAAAGATGGGCCCTTGTTTATAATTCTGAAAATACCCTACACTTGATGCGTGATGTTTCATACATAAAGCTGGTAATGATTTTTTTACTGACTGCAAACAGATTTTAAAAAAACATTACCTAAGAACATTTGGAAAGTACTCATTTCATTTGATCAAATTTATTTGAAATGCTTTCAGTAAAGGATATACAGTATACATGATTGCCACTTTATACATCCCAGTTTCTTCTGTGATAGCCTAGCTAACTTGTCTAGATTATGAACAATTACTACAGCACTGTAATGTTATTTCAAATTAATGAACCATTTTCAAGAAAAATATGACAAATATAAAGACAAATGCTTTAACTATTACAATGAAGCATAGTTGATAGTTCAAAATATTTAAAACAAATCTATTTTACCTAATGTGTGACGCTGTCTAAATGCTCATACATCTTTAATTGAAAGAATAACAGGACAAGCATATTAGTTTTAAAAGATATGAATGTTTTGTCAGCTTGGTCTGTCACAGAAATATCAGAAACCAGACAAACAACATAGCATAAAACACTGCATTTTCAGAAAACAGGGCTGAAATTTTAAATGGAAAGTGTAATTATTGAGTTGACCATGTCTTTTTTTAATGTGGAAAAAATCTGAAAATGAATAGGGGCTTTACACACAGGCAGCAAACCAAATGCATCTTACATGGTGAATCGGCAATGCGTGATTATCTGAACGATGACATTGATTCTTGTTGTGGCTCACTCTCTCGTGAAGACCCCATGCTCTTTGGGATACCAAGACGAGCTGTTCCTCCTCTAATCATCTGTGACAGTTCAGTTAGAGATGCTCAGATGACCAGATATTTTGCGAGGCAAAAAGCAAGAGGAGTCTGTGTTAAACGAAGAATCCTGCTCTGGATATTGTAGTCAAAGATGTCCAAATTTAATTTAATTATGTTGAAGAAGGCGCCGATATCTTCTCAACACTGAGCCTTCTCTTATACTGTGCACTTACAAACACCTCTCACTATAGTATTTCAATGATCTTGAGGCCAGGGATTCAAGTCTTTATATGTTTTTCATTGATTTTCATGTGGATGTATAGGGTAAGTATTTCTGATAAATTGATAGCCTCTTTTTTTCTTTGCATGTAATGTAAACATAACACATCTTTCACTATTAACCCATTTGACTTTAGAATCACAATTTGTTTTTCCTTTGCAGAAATTTACACATCTAATGGGTCATTTTAAATTATTGTTTGCATAATTACAAAGAAGGGGAAATACTGATGGATCCAGGACTTTGATTGAGATAGCATATGATTTGAGCTGTTGTCAGTGCCAGGTAAAGACTTTTCCCCAACTCTGCTTTGCATCTAGAAGCCACATAAATTCAAACACGAATTGTGGTTGTGCATATCAAGTTCACTATTTGACATTCACTGATGAAAGAAATCACAGGATATGAAGGTGTGGTGGAAATTCACACGTCATACATGTGTCAGAGATGCTTTATGTAACTCTCCCAGTGAGTTGAATTAAGTGTGTCTGCTAGAGTTTGAGGGACACTGAGCTCTGTCACTAAGGAAGATTCAAAGGCATATGTGACGTGAGGTACCGTCTCAACCAGCAGCCTGAGTTTCATGAGTTTGCTTGAGGAAGCTGGTTGAGTGTGGAGCCTCTCAAGGTCCTGTGTTCTGATAACATGTGGGTTTAGGTTTCTATCAGTTAGGGGCTCTATTAAAGTATGAATTTGGCATGCACCTCTGTGTGTATGTGTCACACTCTCTGGCCAGAGTAAACGATATAACTGTGACTGTTCAACTTCTCTGAGTCTGAGATTTTCTTCATAAAAAGTATAGTTCAATATTCTGGGTTGATGTTTGTTTTGTGGTGGAGCTGAAAAGTTGGATATGGCTGCGGCTCAGGATGTAGAGTGGGTTGGTGGTTTGAACCCCAGCTTCTCCAGTCCACATGTCAAAGTGTCCTTTAACAAGACAATGAACCCCTACTCGATATCACTGGTCTGTGGATGTGCAAGCCCCTGTGTGTGCAAATCTGTCTGTTAGCTATACAGCAGCTGGTTAGCTTCGCTTAGCAAAGACTGAAAACACAGGCAAACAGCTAGCATAGCGCTGTCCAGCAGTAACAGAACCACCCATCAGCACCTCTAAGGCTCACAAATTAATACATTATATCTTGTTAAGTTTGTATATCAACTGAAGTGTTGCTATTTTTTTAAATTGGTATATTTATCTTAAGGCGTAAGACACTCCATGCTTCAAATTGTCTGAAAATTTCAAAATCACCAAATTTGAAGATGTTTTCGCTGAATGTTTCAATGTGTATTTTTTCAGCTTCTGACTTAAATAAACAGGAGCTTAGCTTTTTATAAGAAAATACATTTTATAAGTACAAAGTCGAATTAAAGAGTACATTTTATACAGACATTTGTGTAAAATGGTACAACTTGACATGCAGTTTAAAGAATATGTGCATGTAAATTTACATCAAGAATGATGTTTTAAACTTGTGCATTTTTAACAGTATAGCAGTTTTATGTTTTATGTTTTTTTTAACAGCATATGCGTATGATTCTTCAGCTTGTTTAGACAGAATAATGGACCTTTTCAATCACAGGCGTCGTGTGACTTCTACTCTGTGAGCTCTTTGTGATGCTGTCTGCTTTTTTAAGCATCTATGTCTGGCTTGAGCAGAGATAGACATTATGATATCAGAGAGCACCTAATGGAAAGATGCAATTGAGTCAC